CTTAATTTTCACACGGCACTGCTGTGTCCCTGTCGTAGCCTCTGTCCACCATGCCCTTGGAGATTTTGGCAAATATATTGGCATTTCATCTTTTGGAACGGAGTTCTGCCTGCGCGGATTCTTCAGCATACAGCAATCAGATCCAGTACCTCCTGTTCAGTCCATGCTGGAGCTCTTTTGCGATTCTGGGACTGCATGGTCACCTGTGCTGATCAGCACACCACACTGGCCAAACAGGAAATGAAATTCAAAAGTTCCCGGGGCTTTTCCTGTCTACCTGGCCAGTGCATCTGAGTTGAGAGTGCTGTCGAGCGGTCACAATGTAGCACTTTGGGATAGCTCCCTGAGGCCAATACTGTCGAATTGCGCCCACACTACTCTAAATTCGACCCAGCGAGGTCGATTTTAGCGCTAAACCCCTTGCCGGGGAGGAGCACAGAAACTGATTTTAAGAGCCCTTTAAGTCGACAAAACAGGCTTGGTCGTGTGGATGGATGCAGGGTTAAATCAACCTAACGCTGCTAAATTCAACCTAAACTTGTAGTGTAGACCAGGGCCTTAGTCTCTAAGGTGTCACAAGGACTCCTTGTTGGTTTTGCTGATACAGACTATCACGGCTATCCCTCTGAAACCTGAACTAAAATTGTTTCATACTGGAGTTTATTTAGTACACTATATGATAGATTCATCTGGAGAAGACTCTCTGCATAAATATTCCTAACTCTTTAAAGACTCTTAAACAAGCTACTAATTCTTTACGTGTGACACGTGAATTAGTAAATGGAAATGTAATTTCTTGTATTGAACTGTGGAAAGGCAATGCCTGGCTCTACTTGATTACTGTGAAGTTGAACAGTATGGTGACCCAGTTAAGTTATATATTTTATATCCACTGTCTTATCTGTAATTAAATCAATGCTCCTTTGTGAAAAGTGGAATACTCATGTATATTTTAATTTTCTTACAAAGAATGCTGTCAGTGAGCTAATTGGAGACCTTTAGGAAGTGGAAGCATCTTAAGAATGTGCATGCATCTTCAAGGACTGAAGCGTAGATAGAAGACTAAAGATGTAGCTCCATTCCCATTTCCCCAAACAGAGAGAACTGACTAAAAAACAAAGATTATTCAAACAAAAACAAACCAAAAACAAACAAAACCACTGTGTTAAGGGGAGTTAAGGTTGCTTAGGCCATGTCTATACTGAAGACTTCTGCCAGCATAGCTATGTTGGACAGGGGTACAATCCCCGACCAACATAGTTTTGCCAGCAAAAGTCCCTATTGTAGACACAGCTATTTGTGGAAAACACAGTTTTGCCAGTGCAGCTTGTTTTGTATAGTTTTGCTGGAATAAGCTAAGTCCACACCAGAAGCATTTTACCAGTACAGTATACTGGTATATCTATACCGGTAAAGTGCTCCTGGCATAGACAAGGCTTCAGAAGTGCCTCTTCTTCAAGCTTTCATGTTCTGAAAAGGTGTGGGAAGTCTGAAGTTATACTGTGAAAACCATAAAAAAGGTACAATTAAGATAATGCTTCACACACCCCACACTCCTACGTCTTTCAATTTGCCCTTTTAGAGTGGGACAGGCATAACTCAAACTTCTGAAAATGAAGAGCGATTTCTTCACTTATAGAGACAAGATAAGGTAAGTCAGACTTTTGTTAGAGAAAGTTGAGGGGACTAGTGTTGGCAAGCTGATCATATGACTGGTTAAATAGCACCACCTGAATGCCTATTATTTGACCATGGGCAAATACTGTCAAACATTTGAGCAAGAATTCTCTAATGTAGGTGGTGGCCTACTTTTTGATTGCATCATGGTCTCATCTGTTAGTAAGACATTTAATTACATGCTAATGCTACTGTTGGGGGGGGGGGGGAGGAGAACTAGCTGAAAATTCAACATCTTGATTGGTTGTAATCTTCTAAACACTGTATATACCTATATCTTTATTTGTTCACCAGGCTATCAGTGTACATGGCTGATTATAAAGTACATTAAAAAACATGGTCTCTGCCCCCGAAGTGCCTACAATGTAAACTGACTAGACAAATATACAGAAATTAATTCAAAAGGGAAGGATAGAAGGGAGCCTCCTCCTTCAACACAAAGAGAATAGATGTACAGCCATTAAGCTGCTTGAAGAATTGAGCCGCTGCCTATCTAGCATAAGTGCATTTTAAAATGGCTCTTTTTTATAGTTGCTAAGTATTTCATTTCTGTTTAATTTCACGTCTGTTCTTTAACTGCTCAGTCTTGAATAACATTCACATTTAAATGCTAACCTAATATTGTTTTAAAAGGTAATATTAAGGTCTCTCCTTTTTTCACAATTTTATTTAATTGTTTCACATTTTTCTGAATTAAAATTACAAAAAACAAGTTACTTAATTGAGTTATCATGCATAAGTATCTAAGGCTAAGCCTACTGAATACCATAAAAAATTACTTTAAAAAAAAACTGTTCTAATATATTCATGCTTTGATAATATTTGACCATTTTTGACCAATATTTGACTGGTCAATTGACCAATTATTTTTGGATCAGTCAAATATCCAACCCTTGGGAGGACAGGACAGAGGAATTTATTAAGCCTAATGCTTTTTCATAAATGTTTTTATGGTTTAAAAAGACAAACAAAAAACACACAGCATGTTTGGATTCAAACATTCCTTTGCAGTGTCTGCAATCCAGAAAACTGATTTGTGCTAATGCACAAGAAACAAAAAGAGAACCAGACTTATTAATTTGCATAAACACACTAAAAATCAATTGTAGAAGTTATTTACATTTTATTACTCTTAGATGTTCTTAGTTACATAGGTAGGAAATGTGTTTTTAAAAGCAATTTTTTGCTCTAGTATGGTTGCGTTAGAGAATAGTTCTGATATGAAAAGTGAACTGTAAAATGGGAACAGAGGAATTTCTATAAGGGGTCAGACCAGTGGTCCATGAAGTCCAGTCTCCAGTAGCGGACAATGCAAGATGACGCAATAAACCATGTACAGGAATAAACCTACTCATAACAAGTTTCTTCTGAACTCAGAGTTAGTAGTTGACTTATGCCTTGAAGCATAAGTATTCATATCCACAATAAATTTTCAATCTGTCTAATAACTGTGGGTGGTTTCCTTATCCACAGCAGAATTTCTAAGAAGTTTAGATATTGTAAGTTCTTGGCCTTGATATCTTGTGGCAGTGAGTTATATAGATTAACTAGATAATAATGCTGAGATATTTTGACAATTAACACTAGGTAAAACTAAGATAGACAGACTAATGCTTAGTGAAAGAGTATATCTTTAATGGTCCTTTCCCTCCCCCTTCATTTCTGCTATCTGCATGTTTAATCATATCTGCTGACCTGTCAGCATTTACAGAGCCAATGTAACTATGGAAGAGCAAGCCAGATTCTACCCCAGCCTGTGCATCATTAACAAAATCATTAGTTAAGTTCTTACTGAAGAATTTTTATTACTGATGGGGAAATACAATTTGAGAAAGTACGTATCTGATGGATTCTCACATCACAGGTGAAATTAACATTTAAAGTAAATGAAAATATGATCTGACATTTAATCTCTTATTAATTTTATCTAGAGCTATCACTCACTAAAAATAAATATGGATCCCCAGGATTGTGCAGTTACTGTAGATTAGTGGCCCAACTCAGTGTATGCGAGAGATGGAATCATTGCCCTCATCTCTTTCTTGATCACTTATCCCTCCCTGAGACAGATAGGGGCATTTCTTTTTAATCAGTTTACATGTACTGGTGAGACACATTAACCATTGAACAATTTAACCAAAGAGACTGAGTCACATCGGAGGGTTTATCCCTTTAAGAGATTAGGAAAGGGTAAAACAGGAATATATCACCCATGGGCTCGATCACAGTATCATCAAAATGGGAAAAATTTGGAAGTGTGACAGGGAGAGCAATAACATTTGCTCATTTCCCCCTACACCATTTTTTGTTTTTTAAAGCACTAGGAGCTATGCAACTCTGGAGTTTTAATAGGCTACTAAAGCTCGTAACTTTAATTCACTGCTTTTAGTCTGGCTCAGATCACTAAATGGGAAAGCTGTTACCATCCAGCAGTTGCTCAGTGGCACATATGAAATAAATAGGTAGTCCAAGTCTAGTGAGCAGGAGTCTATTTCACAAACACCCCCCAGTCATAATTGGTATAAATTGAACTGATGACCTAGTGAGCAATCTAAGCTCAAGGAAGACAGCAATTTAAACACAGAAGCTGGGCAGTGGAAGCTGCCACACCAGTATGCCTTTCCTCTGTGCTGGAAGGAAGGGCTCCCTCCAGCGATAAGGGGAGGAATTCAGTCTCCAGGACTTTTATCGGTAACAGACATATCATTAAAAAGGGAGGGCTTTCGAGTAAGATGTGGGATCATCTCAGAACAGCGCACGGAAGCGGTGTCATTATCATCAACACCATTTCTCAAGGCTCACGTGTTCCCGGCTAAGCCTGCAGGCGGCAGCAGGAGGGCCACACCACCGCCCTTGCGGCACAGCCCCAAACTGGGTGCCCGCTAGACACCCCGATGTCGGATCACTCAGCCCCCTCTTTGCGCTCCTTGGCCCTCTTCTCCGCTACACCCTAAATGCCCCCCCAACTGACCCTGTTATGCCCCCATCAGGCCGCCACCTCAAGCCCCCCCACGTCACCCCTCCTGAGCACCCATCTTAAGTGTGGCCCTCACACCACTCCACTCTCTCTAGTGCCCCCCTCTGCGCTCACCACCCCCATTAGGCTCCCTCGCCCCCCTCCTCGCCTTCTCCCGCAGCTCCACTGCGCCTCCACGAATCCAGCTTTCCCCCCCCCCGCGCCCTACTCTTCCTCTGCCCCCCGCCCCTCACCCACCTGGGCACAGGTACTACTAGCGGCGGCTCTCCCTCCAGCAGCACTCCGACTCTCTCTAGCTACCCTCCCAAGCAGCGCATGCGTCCGACCGGCAACATAGAGTACAAACCTCCCCGTCGCCTAGAGAAGCCCTATCTTGAGGTACCTCTTCCGTTTCCAGCCTGGAGTGCGTGGGGTCTGTGCGGCCCCTCCCACCACTTCCGGCTTTCCCCGCTCCTAAAATGGCGGGTGGAGGGGCTTTAACTGACTTTTCTAGGCTTAACATTGAGTCACCTCTAGGGTAGCTTCAGTGCGCTTGCGTGGAACGAGCTCCAGCCTCTGGTTGAGCGAGCTGAGCGGCTCTACTGCGCACGCGCGGCCAGGTCTGCCGTCCGTTTTGTTTTGGCGCCATCTGTGTCCCTAGATGTGAAGTACGCGAGGGCGTGAGGGACCCTAGTGCACCCACCCCTTTGTTTGTGCGACAGGGAGCCTCCGTGCTGTGCCACCGTTCCCGCA